TTCCTGCTGCCCAAGGTAGAGCCTCAGGACACTTGTTTACCAGTTTACAATCTAGAGCCAGGTACCTATTCCCTTCTTAGCCCCAAATCACATTCAGAACTGAAGTCAGATGAAAACTTACTGTTTTTCTGCTTCTTCCTGTCACGAGGAGGCTCCTTCAGAGCTTTGATAATCAGAGCAGAGGCAGAAGGAACAACCTCTATCTAAATGAGAAGAGATTAATTTTCCCCCTCTCCACGCACAATTAGGTAGCTAATGAAGATACACTACCCAGCAGTCAGTGCCTGGAAAGCTAATTGCCAGAGTACTGCATTTATCGTTAGTTCACTGCTACACGAGGCCTTTTTTGTGGTACAGAAGCTTGTTCCCAGCCTCTCGGCACAGGCCTCCCCACAACCAGAAGAGGACTGCTTCCTGGACCGGGGCTTCCTCTCAGCCCACCACTGGAACACACCAGCCACAGAATGACTGGTATGGTGGCAGGTGGCTACAGACTAGGTAAGGAGGGTTTTTTTAACTTCTAGATTGCTTGAAATATGATTTTTCCTGGTCAGATGTTCTATAGAAGGAACAATTTATCTGCAACAGGATCAAAGACTGACTTCTGCACATGAGCAGATCTGTTGCCATCCCTCACAGCCTGGCAAGCTCCAGAGGCTGCATCCACACACCCACCCACTGCTGATTCCAGCGAGAGGCACCCAGAAGGCTGGTGCAGGTGTTTTAAGGTCTTTCCTAGAAGACCCCCACACAGTTTGCTGCGTGGAACTCATTTTATCCACCTCGGAAGGATGAAGGGCTGAGTTGACCCTGCCGGGATTTAGGCTTGTGGCTCCAGCAAGCAGAGCTCGCCTGCACGACGCTTGCACCACGAAGCCATCCCTTCTGGCGTTCGATACCTGAGCTTGCCTGTTCTGGATGGTGAGCTTCACCGTGATCCTCAGCCCCTTCCAGTCACCCGTGGCCTTGGCAATGTCATCACCCACCTTCTTGGGAGACTGAGCAGAAAAAGACACGTTGTAGAGGCGAAAAGCATCTCCCGGATCCCCGAAGGGTAGCCCCGGGCTCCCCGCGCCCCACACCCACCGCGCCTTTCCCCGCTGCGCTCCGACCTCGCCAAAATTTACCTCCCTTCC